AATTCCCTGGGAGCAGAGCAGCACGAGGAGGCACCACATCCTGGGGCTGTGTGAAAAAGCACATGTAGGGGTGTTTGTGTTAGGAAGAGCATGCTGTGGAATTCCACAGGAAGACCCAAGTGGGGAGGCTCCTAAAGGCTGCCCAAGGTCTGTTCCCCAAGGAGCTGCCAGAAAAAGTGCCTGTGTGAGGAGGGACTGTCTACAGCTCTTGCTGTCTAACAGGGAGCATTGCAGAACAGTGGTGTGCTGGAGTGAGGGCTCAGCCAATGAGGGTTGTAAAGGGCTGTGCAGAGGCCAGGAGTGATTCAGGGACTCTGGAAAGAGATGCAACAGGCTGAGAGGAACATGATTGCACCAGATCATCACCAGTTTGCGCTTTCACCATGGGGCGATGTGCCCCTGACCAGGCTCACGTTCTGTTTGACATTAGTTCCTCTGAGAATATGAAGTGAACAAAGTGACCATATGTGGCTCCTCAGGCCCTCAGTTCCCGGTGAACCTTGCCTTTCAGACTGAAACTGAATCATCTAGGTCTCCATTTACCATCCCCTTGGTCTTCTTCACCAGCCCCTTGCAGCCCACTTCTTCCAAGAACCTGCTCTGCTATCCCCAGAAATTGCATTTTTCCTACTGCTGCTTCTGAGCCCAAAGTTTCTGTCTCTCAAAACTGATGGTTCCCACCAGCCAAGAAACCATGGAATGATTTGGTTCTAGAGCAGTGAACAGTGGATCCTGAGACTGCCTTCATGTTGCCAAGGGCCTGTCTCCTTTATCTTTTAAAAATGGCTGTCCATATTGCAAATCCTGTCTTGGTCATGGGGAGGTGAGACCGTGCTCTAAGACCTTTGGGTTGACTGATGGTACCAGATAAACTTTTCTGAATAGAAATTGCAGAGTGCAGTCTATCTAGCACCTGTTTATGCCAACTCCACCTACATCAGATATGCTTCCAGGTTTAAGTCTTTATTTTCCAGAACCCAGTTAATGAGTACAAGAACACTGCTCTCTGTGAGCTTCCCAGACTTTAATTTCAACATGCAAATTTTGACTCAAATGTTCCCTAGAAAAGGGAAGAGCAGGTTCTGTGTCCCGGAAAGTTACTGGGTGTGGGACTATGAGTTAAAACTGTTTGGAGAGCAAGAGAAGAGCAGACATGTTCAGTGCTCCTTGCCTACAGGAGACCTGCAAGTGAGTAGGATAGGATTTTTCTTTCCAATCTGAAGAACTGTACAAAAAGGATTCATCCATGAAGCTCAGTACTGCGCTGATACATTTTGGAAAAGCCCTTATACATCAAATTGTTGTTGTATGCTGTGCCTGCATGTGTGAAGACAGAATGAGGGCTGTGAAGAGAAAAGTAGCAACCATTCTGGATCTAGATAAAGACTGTAAAGATCAGGCAGGCTACCTAAATGTTCAACAATAGAATCCATGGGACAAAAGGGACACAATGCAATGTAAGGCTTCAGATCATCAAGGCGTCTTGTAAGATTGCCTCACCAGTAATGACTGGAGACATTACTGCTCTTGTAGGCTTGGTTTCCTTGGAAGAAGAGGGCATGTTTCTATGACTGTGGTGCATTTATGTTAGTTCACCTTTCTGTCCATCCTGTAATTAACTTTTGATGTCATTGGTAAATATCTACCAAGTCCAGCACCAAGATACAAGCCTGTAAGGTTATGGCATTCGCGCGAGCTCCTGAGGAGTGTTTGCTGAGGGACGACTATTTGGCAGGGTTGGTGCCTTGCTGGGGGGAAGGCAGGCTGAAGGCAGCTGTTAGATATTCTGCAACCAGCTGAGCAGCCAGCAAGAGTCAGCCAACCAGTCAGCGTCCATGTAACTGCAAAGCAGCCACAACATGCATGGCTGGGCGTCGGGGTTTGTGAGAGAATTTCGTAGGAGACCTGCCTGCATTATATTTTGCATTAGGAAGTTAAGCAGACTCAGGACACAGGTCTTTCTGAAACCAGGCATTGCTAGGTCCACTAGATGTGGAGAATCCAATTTTTAATGAAAAACAGAGATTCTCATGCAGCCACATGTTTCTGGAGTCTGCTTCTAGCATAAGACATGCTGCTCTATGGAGTTTTTTTAGACTTGGAAATGGAGCTACAGATCAAGAGAAAGTAAGAGAGTGTTCCCTGGCTAGTAATGGGGAAGATGAGCAGTATTTGTGGAAGCAAGGAAGGAGTTACCAAGATTTTTGCACTCTCTGAATCTCCTTATAGGAGGAGTTTCGACTTTTTCTGATCTTCAATTTCACCTTTAAATTTGGCTGAACAAACTTAAAGAAGTCAAACCTCATGAGTCATGAGACAGTTGGTATGAAGCAGTCTTTGGAAACACCCAAAACTTTAAACTTGGCATCAAAACACACTCCATTCAATTCACTTTGTATATCAAATACTTCTTAATTTTTGTTGTCAAAACAGGAAGCCTCACAACTACATACTCAGTCAGCACAACCCTCTTCTTGGCTTTCTGCTATTTTACTCTGTTCTAATGGGAGTAAAATATGCCTCCCTCTCCCTGCATGGGGCATCTCATTCAGGAAGAAAAAGTTCTGCTAGTGTCTCAGCTTGTTTTCAAATCACTACCAAGACTAGTTGAGGCAACGCAGAGGCTAAGTTATTCCTCTTGTTAGGGCAAACTTTTCTCAATGTGTTCTATGACCACCTGGCTTAGCTGGCATGGCTCATGGACTTCCAGGTATTTGCCTTTTAAATCAGATACAGCGGGATAAGTAATAACCATCTTGGCAGGCCACTGCTCCCTTAAGCTTCAGGAATAAAGACAGTTAGGAGACAGGAATAGCTGTTTTCATCTAGTGAGAGGAAGCCATAAAAAAATATTTGGCATGGTGAACTGTCATAAAAGAATACACTCAGAAGGAAAAAAGGTCAGAGAGAGAAATGTCCTTGAAAGACCTTTAGGTAGCTTTAAGATTTAGTGAAACTGAGATACAAGCCCTTCAGAAATTCATCGATCTGTCCTTGTGTTGTAAGCAGTCTAAAATTCATTTCATGTAAGCTGTAAGGCACACACACACCCCAACCAGAGAAGCAACTGTGACTAAATGCGTATGAGAATCAGCCGTCTTACTCACTAACAGAACATACGTGTGCGTTACACACCGAGAGCAGGAGGTCCAGGCTGCACACACTGTTGCAGTACTGGGACTTTTATTCCCTTGTTTTCAGACTGAAGAAAACAAGTTGAGGAAAATGAAGTAGTTGCTTTTTTTCTTCTTTTTGTGCAGGTCAAAATTCTTTGTCTTCTAACTTGAGCAAACAAGCACTTCTGTGCACAGCAATAGGCTTACAGATCAGAGAGGCAAAAAGCTGTCTATTCTTACAAGCAAGGGCACAAACCCCAGACCGAACACCTTTATGGAGATAGGCAACAGAGAAAAAGACCACGAACACATAAGTACAAGCAACTTACCTCTGCTTCGACTGCCTTGCCTGTGTCTTCTGCCGTAGTTCCTGGTCCGTCTCCACTAGCAGACTGATTCACTGGCAGAAACCTGCGCCGATAAAAGGAAGTCAAAACACAATGAGCGCTTCAGGGTAGCAGCCGTGAGTGTCATGAGTTGGCAGCGTGTGTTGTAGAGCGTGTTTAAGTGCTGATTTGGCAGAGCTTCAGAAGTGGGGAAATCCTTGTGATGAAAAAGATCTTCGAGTTAAATTCACAACCCCAAAATGCACCACGGAGCAGGACAGTTTAAGAAGTACCTACGAATCAGTGGTTAGGATGTTTAACTGGGACCTGGATGTTCCAGTTCCCTGAGGCTGTGGCAGACCTTGATCTCTACTGTTGCCCAGCTGAGGGGATTCTCCAAGTGTAAGCTTTTAGGATGAAGAGGAAGAAGTGTCCAGCTTCTCTCAACATACTTTCTCCAGAACACTGTCTCTGCTATTGCTTTTCATTTGGTGTATGTTAACTTTAACATTACACACAGACTCCTAAGTCTGTTTTTCAGTGAGCAGCACAACTCATGAAACCCATCCTATTCTACATTTAGTCGCTCAGACTTGGCATGGCTTCTGTGGGGACCCTCTGGTGCTAAAGAATGCTTGAACACATCAGATAACCTTTCTCACAGTGAGGGAACAGAAAAAGGTTTTTGTTTCTCCCAAGCTATTTTCATCAACTCTAAAAGCATAGTTTCTTTGGGGATCTTTGCCTAACTACCAAATTTGCTGTAGTCAGCCTGGGGGCTAAGTCCTCACTGAAATTGGTTCGATGACCATGGGCAGAAGGACGCATTCTGTGTCCTTAGGCAGCTGGGCTACAAATAAAGTAGAATCCTCCTACACAAGGACCAGCCTTTTCAGCCAATTATCTCATAAGTGTCTTCAGAAGAACTTGCGTTTCATCACAGACTGATGAGCATTTAGAAGAACACCAAATGAAAGGGACGTGTTCTTGGGAACACCACTGCAAATAATAAGATTGCCTTTGGGTGGCAGGGGAAGGAAAGGAGTGAAGTAAGAACAGGATGTCAGTGAAGCCACAGTAACAGTTCTGCTTTACATAGAAAGTAAGGAACATAATTTGGGATGGTGAAAAAGGTAATTTGGTAATTTTTCAGTGAAAAGCATTATAACTTGGCTGCTCTGATGTCTCTAAGTGACAACAACTTCCATCAAACCATAATGACTTCTGCAACATGATATTTAGTCCCTCTTCAGGTCCCAGGGTCGATCAACAGTCCCCATGATGTTTCCAATGCTGCTTGCACAGCCTGTTTTTACTGATTTTCCAGAAAATTCAACTTCCTGCCTCCTCTGTGGTCTTCCAGGTTGCAAGATAGCTGCGGAGCTGCAACATCTTTCCTAGGTGAATTTAGGGGATGCTCTGGCTTCTTTCATGTATATTGCTATTGCATTTCACATCATAAGTACTAAAAACTCATATAGTAGGTCTCATGCATTTCCCCT